TAAGTTATAGCCTGCAGAAGCACACGTCGTCAGACGCCATCGACTCCGCCGGAACTCTGTGTCGGAGCTGGGCGCTCGCCTGGTACCTGTCGAGCAGGAACTCTGCTCCAAAAATGGCTGGCTCGCTGTCGGCGCGACGCGGACCTCCTCACAGACTGGGGGGGCGCTCGGCGGTGGGGCGAGCCGCCTTGGGGTGCGAGCCCCACAGCGAGGCTGCTTTGGGGGGCAAGTTCCGCTGCAAGGACGGCGAGGAGGACATAGGAAGTCCGAGGAGGAGGAGGAGGGAGGGTGAGGCGTACGCCCGCCAGGTCATTCGCAATTGCATTTGAAAATGAAGATCGTGTGTTACAGCCTTCGATCTCGAAAACGAATCCTCGGACGAATCCCATCTCCAACAGCTGTGTCTCAGGATGTCGTTGTTGCTGCCGAGGTGTCACGGACCTGGAACCCGACTCGGATTCCTGAGCCTTCCTTGGAGAGTTAGCTTTCGGTATCTCGGAGGATGGTTTCTCACAGCGGTCCTCGAGCATGCAGCATCGAGGAACGAAGCTTGGGGGGTGCATTTGTGCCGTCTCTGGTTTCTGGAATTCTCCAGGGGATTCTTGGGGTCTCCAGTATGGACGTCCCTAAAGGCTTCCAGAAACCTTCAGAGCACTCCAGGCACCTCACAGAGGAGGATATCTCAAAGTTGTATTGGAGCGTGCAATGACGTGGGGTGCGCCTCGCCCAGCGAGGCGACACCGTGCTGCTCCAGCTCCTCCCCGTCCTCCTTCACCTTACGGATCCTTGGAGGCCCAACGAGGCCCAGGCCGTCGGCAAGCAAAATCACATCTCCCCTTCTCGAGTGTTCGTGCACGGGGGGGGGCTAAACGCGGGTCGCAGTAATGTTCACCTCTCGTGCACCCTGTGGGCCCGCGGTGGCAGCTCAGAGGCCCTTCCGGACCCCCTCAGGGGCATTTTCTTGCAAGCCTCGATCACCCCCCTGCGTTTGTTGCATCCTCGTTGCCGTCCGCCCGATCCTCTTCTTCACCCGTCTCGCTTCCTTCCTCCGCCGAACCCCTACAGTCGGACCGAGGTATAAGATCGAGATCGGCTCGGTGAGGGCACCCTAGCGTTCTTCGTGCTAGTTGGATGTTCTTGCGCATCCTGGGGAAGGTACCCTTGGAAGTTTTGTGTGTTCTGGCCGACAGAGGGTCTCACGTTCTTGAAGGATGCTCTTTTTGCCTCGGTCCCACTGTACCCCGCCGCCTTCACATCCTCCCGGGAGCGGGCGCGCCCCAGGCGCCTGACGACAGGCACCAGGCGCCTGACGACAGGCACGAGCGACCGTTGGTCGGAGCGCGTATCGGAACGCCAGACGGGCGACGCGGCGGGCGAGGATGCCCTGCGTGGCACCCGGCCTCCCAAGTGCCTCGTGTGACACATAAGATCAGCGCGTCAGGCTCCAGAGCCTCCCTGGCGAAAGTGCCCGGCGGGGCTCGCCCACTGCCGGCGGGCAGGGCCCCAGAGTGCGGCGATTGTGATTCGGGCGACTCTGCGGAAACTGGGAACCTCCCGGGGTCCAGCACGATTCCGTGTGCAAGTCCACGGGTACCGATTCAGCAAGCTTGAGGGTTCTCTGCGGGAGCCCATGCATCCCCTAACGAATTCCACCCGGAGTCCAGGAGTTCACATGGGATCAGGCTTGTCCCACTGCATGCAGGCGCACGGTATCTCCGAGGGCATCCTAAAGATTCCCTGGGGGAAACGCCGGACTCAGCGGGGAGTCGGGTTTGCTTCAGAATCCCCACGTAATTCCCGCAACTTCGGGTTCCTTGGGGGGACCTTGTCGAGGACGTCTTATCGAGCCCTGAGGATCTCTTGGGACCTGGACCCGAAGGATTTCCGAAACAATCCAGACGTAATTCCAAAATCTTGAAGAAGTAGTGCAGAAGCGCGCAGGATTGCCTCCGGAATCCCGAGGCATGCCGACGGTGCCCTCAGGACCTCCGACTGGATCTTGACGATTCCCGCACGAATCTCAATAATTCCCTGATAGGCCGTGTAGGATTTCATCGTGCGCGTTTCGCGGCGGAGTCGGCCCTCCAGTGCCTCGAGCGGCCACTTTGCGCGGAGATCGGCCTCCCCTGATGCGGCGCAGCCGCGTCGTTGCCCGCGCGCGCAGCGCCCAGTCGCACAGAGAGGGGCGACCCCCGTCACAGAGCCGGAGCCCCCGCCAAGCGCGCAGCGAGACCCCCGCGGCGCCACCGCTGGAGGGGGCCGCGCGGGGGCAGTGGCGAGGAAGGAAGTCCCCCCTCGGGCGCATGCCATGCAGGTGCTGCCTGGGGGAGGGGAGGGGGACTGGCAGCACGAGCGTGCGCTCGAGCACCCCACGCCCCTGCAATCCTGATGCGGGACGTGGGATGCGTGCGCGCGTCGTTGATGTACGGCCAAGTCCCCTCGACCTCCTCCCCCTCCTCCCCTTCCTGCCCCCCCCTCCTCCACAATTACACAGCATGAATGCTACTCTCCTCTCTCACCTGATGACGTCCAGAAGATGCCCGACCCCCGTCAGTATTTTTTACATTCAGGATTCCCGGGAACTGGGTTTTCGCTTTGGGTTTGTTTCGAAATGATGTTCCCGCTGAAACGCTGACCTCATTTTCGGGCTTCCGCTCGTTCCGAATCGTGTTACCGCTGCAGAGCTGGACCCATTTCCGCGCTTCCGCCCGTTCCGAATCGTACTCCTGCTGCAGCGCGGGAGTCATTATTTCCGGTGCCATACCACGGCCTTCCAACTAGACCCCAACATCTAGAAACCGCCCCCGCAAAACAAATATCAGATGTGATGACACATTCGGTGTCGATTCGTTGATTTTGGGGGCCGCAGAGGCCCCACTTTGGGGCGTTGCCACGCCATGCTATGTCATGCTACGCGGTGATCGTCAACGCCATGTTACGTCATGTAACGTTATGCCATGCTACGACATCGGACGGACTGTGCGAATAGAGAGGAGATCTACGCCGTGGTAAGGGATGCGAGGGAGAGGGAGGACGTCAGGTATGACGCGATCGCACCTAGCTTGTCCTCCTCCCCCTCCCCCTCCTCCCGTTCCCTCCTCCCCCCCTCCTCCCCCCCCCTCCACATCACCCTCCCCCTCCTCCCGTTCCCTCCTTCCGTCCTTCTCCCCCTCCTCCTCGCCACCCTTCCCCCCTCCTCTCCTTTACAACTTGATTATATGAATACTACTCTCCTCTGTCCCCTGATGACGTCTGGAAGATATCCGGCCCCCCTCCCCGTATTGTTTTTACACTGGATTCCCGGGAAATGGATTATCGCTTGGTTTTTGTTCCAAAACGTTGTTCCCGCTGAAGCGGTGGCCCAATTTCTGCGCCTCTGCTTGTTCCAAATCGTGGATATCTACGCCATGGTAAGGGATGGGAGGGAAGGGTATGTCGTCAGATATGACGCGAGCGCACCTAGCTTGTCCCATTCCCCTCCCCCTCCTCACGTGCCCTCTTCCCCCCTTTTTCTCCCCCTTCGCCTCGCCTGCCCCGCGCGCCCGCGGCGTCAGGAAGAGCGGCGAACCAGACGTGGCGATAGACGTCATGCTCCAGATGCGCCGCAGGGGTGCGCCAGCACATGATCGGGCAGTGAGAGAACGCCCGTCAGGGGCACCGATAGGGGGGCGATGGGCTCAAGAGGGGGGGTTCGAGGTCGAGGCTTTCGGACGTTTTCGTTGGTTCTCGGCGGTTTCCGTCCTCGGGATGCCTTCCAGCGGCCGCGCTTTCGCCGAGAGTCTCTGGGGGGGGGGCCCGAATCATCCCGAATGGCCGCCGGAGGCTCGAGTCATGACCCGAAGACCACCATCGGGGGTGGACAGAACCCCCAGCAGTGACACGTCGATTAGTGAGTTGTCCGTTTTCAGTTCTCGAGAGGGCGCCGTGGCCGCTATTTTCCAGGCTTGCGCCCGCCAGGTTTGGGCCTCAGGTCGTTTTCACTAAACCACGTTTTACTAAAGGGGGGTCTGTCCATCCCCGACACCAGGGGATCGGCTCAGGGGGGACTGCATCGAACCCCCGGTCGCCGAATCATCGCCAGCAGGTGCCTCACATCGCCCCGCCCAGGAACGTGTGGCCTCGCTGCGGGGGGCCATCGCCGATCTCTCGGCGATGAAGAAACGCCGAGTCCGGGTCGGTGTTTCCCCCCCCTTGAGCCAATCCCCCCCCTTTTATCGATCCCCCTCAGCCCACCCAGAAAAGTCGATGGAGGAGGGAGGAGCGACCGATGAATCAAAAGCTGCACTGGCATTCACGCTCGGGGCTCCGCGCGAGTTCTTTGGGTCGGCGCCGGAGCCCCCCAGGCAGTGAGTTCAGCGCCGCCCCTAGCGCGCTCCCCCCTCGCGCCCGGGAAGGGGTTCCAGCGCCGACCAGAGAAATCCGTGCGGATCTCCGGGAGTTTATGCTTATCCGTTTTGTTGTCCCTGCTCTGTGCGAGGTGGGAGGAGAGCACGTCGGGAACGTTTCCCAAAGCCACGAAAGCGAAATCCTCGAACAGAGGGGGGGAGGGAGGGCGGGGGGGGAGGGGGGGGTCCCCGAAGAGAAGGGCTCGGCGAGGAGGGAATCCTCCTTCGCCGTGAACGGGGGTCCCCGAGCGGAGTGGAGAGGGGGTGGGGGAATCCTCGAACAAGCGGAGGCGCGAGGAGGGAGCTCCTCCCTCGCCATGCAGCGGAGGCGTCCTCGAGGAGGGCGGTCTGGGAGATGCCCCTCCCGCTCCGCACAGCCGCTGGTTCGGGGCAGCAAGGGCAGCCGTCCGAGCGCGGGCGCGAGGCCTCGCACCAGGGGTGCGGGCTTAAGACATGTCCCTCTACAGGAGGAGTATTCAAACATAGTCAAAAAATAGTCTGGGGACGATTATTTGACAATGTTCAGCTGTTTTCCGTCTGTTTTATTCTTTTTCATAGTTCTTCCAAAATCCGCCTGCACAAGGACATGTCCGACTTAAGTGTGGGCGCCTCGAGATGGGCTGCTCGGGCGGCAAGGCGGTGGCGTCGCCGCCCAGCGCGCGGACGGGAGGTCAGAGCCCCAAGAGCCGGAGCTCGAGTTCCTCCACCAAGGACCCCTTCGACGCAGCCTTCATCCTGGACGACACCCGGAGGATTCAGAATTTCTATGCCGACGAAGATGATGGCGCATGTGCCATGGGGGATATGCGCAGGGTGCGCCACAAGAAGACCCAGGAGGTCCGTGCGCTGAAGACCCGGGCGAAGGTGCACGTGGAGAGCCCTGAGCTCATCAAGCAGGAGATCGATATTCGCAGGGAGCTCGACCACCCCAATATCGCGAAGCTTCACGAGACCTTCGAGGACCACAGGAACATCTACTTGGTGACGGAGCTGTGCGAGGAAGGGGAGCTTTTCGACCGTGTCATCGAGGCTGGCCGCATCACAGAAATGCAGGCGGCCGCGGTCATGCAGCAGGTGCTCTCGGCCGCCCTCCACATGCACGAGAGGCGGGTCTGCCACCGCAATCTCACGATCGACAGCTTCTTCTTCGCCAGCCCTGGGCCCATCTCGACGAAGAAAAAACGGCATAAACATAAACTGTCGGAGATACGCGCGGATTTCCTGGATCGGCGAATGAACCCCCCTGGCGACGCCGCCCCTGGCGCGCTCTGCGCGCCAGGGAGGGGGTTCCAGCGCCGGTCCAAGAAATCCGCACGGAGCTCCGCAAGTGTGTGTGAGTGTGTGTTTATGCCGCTGTTTGCTCCTCTGCCATCGAGAAAAGCGTGCTGAAGTTGGTGGATTTCGGCTCTGCGACCAGGTTTGAGCCTGGCCAGATGCTGTCTGCAAAGGTGGGCACCTCATACTACGTTGCGCCGCAGGTGCTCGCGAGGAAGTACGATCATGCATGCGACCTCTGGAGCTGTGGCGTCATCATGTACGTTATTATGTGCGGCTACCCCCCCTTCTGCGGGGAGAGAGAGTCGGAGACCCTCGCGCAGGTGAAGTCTGGCAAGTTTACGTTCAAGAAGGCAGACTGGTGCGGCATCTCCGAGGACGCAAAGGACCTCATCAGGGGGCTGCTGAAGTTGGAGCCGCGCCAGAGGCTCACGTCCGAACAGGCGTTGGACCAGGACTGGATCAAGAACTGGGCGCCCAGGGCCCCCAAGGTGCCCTCGCTGCCGGCCAACTTCGTGGCCAACTTGCGCAGCTTCCGCTCGCAGAACAGGCTCAAGAAGGCAGCCCTGCACATCATCGCTGGGCAGCTGAATGAGAGCGAAATCAAGGGACTGCGGGGCGTGTTCCAGGCGCTAGACGGCAACCAGGACGGCCTGCTCTCCGGTCGCGAATTGAAAGAGGGATTGCTGAAGGCCGGCCTCGAGAACATCCCTGCGGACTTGATGCGGATCCTCGATGACGTAGATTCGGACGGCAGCGGCATCGTGGACTATACCGAATTCTTGGCCGCCACCCTTGACGAGCAGCTGTACAAGCAGGAGGACGTTTGCTGGTCGGCGTTCCGCCTGTTCGACCGCGACGGCGACGGCAAGATCTCCCAGGACGAGCTCAGGTTCGTGATTAGCAAAGGCAACGACAAGAAGCTGGCTGACGACAAGGTCATTGAAGAGATTATCAGCACGGTCGACACGAGCGGAGATGGCAAGATCGATTTCCAGGAGTTCATGGCCATGATGAACTCCGCGGCGAAGCACAGGTGCCCCAGCAGTGTGGCGGCGACCACTGTCAGGATGAGCAGTGGGTCGTGCACCACGTCGCTGAGCAGCTCTTCGAGTTGACACTGTCGGTGCCTCTCTCCCAGGCGTTCGGCCAATGACGGCGGAGAGAGCAGGCGGGGATTCCGGGTGTCGGCAAGGGGGAGAAGGACAGATTGTGCAAGACCGCATGGCTTCACCAACACACGGTGCACTCGTAATGGTTCTTCCTGATGTAGTGTTACCGCGTCCCTTACGCGGCACAGCAGCGGTAGATTTCTCCACCGCCTGGCTGCCTCGAGTGCACGGCATTATTCGGAACGGTTCGCGCGCAAGTTCTCACAGCTCACACCAGATGGGCTCGAGAACCCGTGACGGGAAGCGACCCAAGGCTGACCAACGCGTCAGCAGCGAGGGCGGCGGCTGCGCCGCACCTGCGGTGCGAGAAAGCCTGTGAATATTGAGAGGGGGGTACGGCCAGGATCTTTTGGTCCGCGTGTCGCTCCGCCAGCTCTGGCCCAGCGCACCTCGGCGCGGCGCGCTGTCGACGCCCCAACTTCGGGCGACAACGTCCCGAGCTCTTCCTGGCCTCCCGCCCCGCAGAGCGGAAAGACAAGGCCACCCGCACGCAGGGCGGACATCGCGTGTCGCCGGGGCCGCCGCCGCGACACGCCGAGCAAGAGCTCCTCCGATCATGGCAGGAGCAGAGATGACGCCAGCGCGCACGCTTGCCGCCAGAGTAGGAGCGGCACGCATCGGGCACCGTCGGCCAGGCAGGGGCCCAGAAAGGCGGGCTCTCGGCAAAGACAGAGCGGACACCGCTGTAAAGGCAGCGCGGGCCCAATGGCCGAGGCTGTAAAGGCAGCGCGTTCCATTGGGCCCAAGGACCGCGTCGCCTTGCAAGGGCCCGAGCGCGGCATGACCGAGACATCATACATGCGGTGCGATATGTGGTAACTCTCTGCTCTCTGCTCCTTCCAATTTGTCTTTGCGCCGCCAGCAGCGAGTCGCGCGCAGAAAAGAAACACAAAAACGAACAGCATGCCTCTCCCTTCTCGGGTTCCAGGGCGATTCTTGGGCCACGGAGCCGTCAAGAAAGAATTCACGGTTAGTACAAGTTCCGAAGGGAAGAAGGCCCCAGGGGGTCAGGACCCGTTTCCCCCACGACATTCTTCCCTTCTGCCAACTCTTTCTTAGATCGCAGATCCAGGTCTTCTTGACGGTAGGGGCACGGTCCAGTGGAGGTGGAGGGAGGTGGCAATGCTGCAGTGGCTCTCAGATGGGGGCTCTCGCTGCCTCGGGAAGAGACGGGGGAGGAGGATTCTATTGCGAAGGCTTGCGGCCGGTGCTGCCGACCCTGAAGAAGACGACCTTGACTTGACCACGACGAGGTAGAGAAACAAGGAGGAGGAGACGCACGAGGAGGGGGCGGAAGACGACGCCGAGGAGGTGGAGGAGGTGGAAAGAAAACGAGGAGGGGGAGCAGCAGGGGGGGTGGCGATGAGTGAAAGGGTATTGCGAAGGCCTTAATGTCGATGCCGCCGACCCTGTAGGCAGCGACGACGAAGACAATGGAGGTAGAGGAGTCCAAGATGCCCTCAGATGGCTCGAAGACGGCGCCAGATGCCTGCAAGGTCGTCCGAAGACAGCTCAAGAGGCCTCCTCCAGGGTTCGGGAACGGCTCCAGAGAGTGCCAAGATAGCCAAGGAGCGCCCTCAAGTGGCCCGAGAGGGTTCCAAGACGGCGGCACAAGCGAGCTCCAAAAGCGCCCGCACAGGCTGTCAAGAGTGCCGCCAGCCCTGAAGAAGACGACCTTGACCACGACGAGGTAGAGAAACAAGGAGGAGGAGGAGACGCACGAGGAGGGGGCGGAAGACGACGCCGAGGAGGTGGAGGAGGTGGAGAGAAAACGAGGAGGGGGAGCAGCAGGGGGGGTGGCGATGATTGAAAGTGCATTTGGATGTGGAGGCCGAGGTTGAAGGGAGGGGGCTGAGCACCTACGGGGATTGCAAGGGGACGTGGAGCAGGAGAAAGATGACGGGTTGGGGCTGAGGATGGCACGGAATAGGAGCAAGAGAGGGATATGGAGGAGGGATACGTACTTGGAAAAGGGGGTGGCTTGAGGGTGGTAAAGGTGGTCGCGATCCTACCCGTGCTTTCGCTGCTCCTGATACCCACACTTGCTTTATACTCTCGTCGGGCTGCCCGCTGGAAGCACATTGTGGAGTCAGGGATCCTAGACCAACACCGTTCCCCTCCTCGATCCGTGGACGCTGACCAGTCTGCATTCGGTTCCATCGACACTGGTGTACATCCGAAGAGGAGGGAGGAGGAGGACGAGGAGGAGGAGGAGGAGGAGGAGGAGGAGGATTCCTCCCACGCGACAGAATAGACGGCAACGACAATTCCGCGCCACCCGCTCGGGCACGAAAGGCGCGCGACGCCGCTCAGTGCCGGGAGGTTACGGGTTTGCCCGGGCAGCGGCCAATGCGACTTCGACCCCGCGCAATCTCGGCGCAACTGCCGCTGCGCGCGCGAGGGCCAGCGAACTTCGCGCAAACAGCTGGCTTCTTCGGGGACGATGGTCGGTTTCCGCTGAGCTTCGAAAGGTCGCGTTTCTTTACAATCTTCGATTTTTTCGGGCCTCTGGAGGGCCCCTCGCGGCCGCGGCCGGGTTCCCTTCGAAATTCTGGCCCGGGGGCGAGTGGCCGAGAGACGAGATCTCCGACGATGTGACATTTCAACCCCAGCTGTTTTCCTAAATATGGGCCTCCCTGGGCCGTCGCCCGCCGCGCCCGTCGCCGCGCCGCCGCGCCCTCCTAGAGGCGGGGCGCGGGGAGGGGGGGGGAGCAGGAGGAGGAGGAGGAGGAGGAAAAAGAGGAGGAGGAAGAGGATGAGGTGGAGGAGGAAGAGGAGGAGGAGGAGGAAGAGGAGGAGGAGGAGGAGGGGCTGTCCTCAATGTATCCTGCCTGGCAGATCTCGACGATTAAGACTCTGGTGGGGGGTTGGACGACGGAGAGGAGGATGATCCAAAGGGACGGTCTGTGCAAATTCGGCTGCCTGCACCCTGCTACTGACTCCCAGGCGCACTACCTCTTTTGTCCGCTGCTATGGGGAAGAGTAGTTCAAGTGTGGAAGCTCAGCGAGCCTATTGAATGGTTTCTCGACAGAAGACTGGATCCTGCTGGGGATATGACGACCGAGCAACGCACTCTATCGGTCCAGCGTTTGGTTGTGGTTTGTTTACATGTAAATCATCAAGATCGGGTCGAGGGTCACTTCGATTTTCGAGTGCGCCCGTTCTGCGAGAGCGCAGCTGCTACAGCAATACGAGATAGAGGAGTAACTCTGCGGCCCGCCTTCGTTGCGTGCGAGGAGGAGGATGAGGAGAAAAAGGAGAAGGACGAGAACGAAGAGAGAGATGGGGCGAGAAAGATTCGAACGAACGTCGGCTCGAGAAGCGCGCGGGACACAAGGAGGATACATACACAAAGACGACTGCCAGAGGCGCGGCGCGATGTCCAGCCTGCAGGGTTCCAGTCCCATCCGCGATCGCGAACAATCTGATCCCGATCCGATATTGCGCCGACGCAGCTGCGATCCGATCCGATTCGCGAGTTGGCAACGCCGAGGCTTGACGAGCACGCGGAGGAGGAACGCGAGGGGGAGGAGGAGGAGGAGGAGGAGGAGGAGGAGGAGGAGGAGGAGGAGGAGGAGGAGGAGGAGGAGGAGGAGGAGGAGGAGGAGGAGGAGGAGGAGGAGGAGGAGGAGGAGGAGGAGGGGAGGAGGAGGAGGAGGAGGAGGAGGAGGGGGAGGAGGAGGAGGAATAAGAAGAAGAAGAGAAGAAGAAGAAGAAGAAGAAGAAGAAGAGGAGGAGGAGGAGGAGGAGGAGGAGGAGGGGGGTGGCAAAAGATGACCACGATGGGCGCGACGCAAAAAAGGCGCGGGCCCGAGGTCGACCAGTGATCGCAAACAGTGGGATCTCAATCCGAATCCCGCCGTTCATGTGCCATTGCTGGCGTTTGGGCCGTTCGGGGCCTTCTCGGTGCCTTCTGGGGGCCTTTTCGGCGCCTTTTTGGGCTTTCTTGGAACATCTCGGGGGCCTCTTGGGACTTAGTGGGGGGCTTCTGAGAGCCTCTTGGAAGTGGTTGGGGGATCTCCTGGAAGGCCCCTGGAGGGCTCGAGATATCCGTTCGGGGCCCCGTCCGGGCCCCCTTTTCGAAACCGTTCCCGGGCTTCTTGGGCTGCGTTGGCGCTTCTAGGGTCGTCTCGGAAGCCCTGCAGGGCGTTGCGAGGCCCTCCTGGGGGTGTCTTGGGCCGTGTGGGGGGCGCTCTTAGCGGCCTCTGGGGCTGCCGTGGACGCTGCGAAAGCTGAAGTGGCGAAGACGGTGAAGAAATATGTCTTCGTGCAGGGGTGAGACGATTTTGCTGCTTGGTGCCCTTGTGGGACAGTCTGGGGGGGGCTGTTTTGGAGGCTTCGTGGGGCGCGTTGGAACATGTCGGGCTGTCGGAAATCCATCTCGGGCGCTGAAGGACTGATCGTTAGGCGACGCGGGCTCTCGTTGACCATCGTGAGAGCTTCTCGTGGAACTCTTGGGCGGTCTTTCTGTTTTGTTTGAATTTCGAGAGACCGGGGGGGGCATTTTGGCCCAGGACCGTCCCCGAGACCCCCCTGGGGCCCCCGCCCACCCACCCACCCGGCGGGGAAGGGATCAAGGGAACGGGCTTCCCTTCGATTCAACTACGCACGACGTTAGTTATGTTCGTTCTAGCTGGCGCGCCTGAGGAGGAGAGCCCAGGGGAAGAGGGGGAACGGCGACGGCGACGACGACGACGAAGACGACGACGAACGGAAGAGACCCTCCCACACGCCGGCAGCGTCGGCGCATTCCATTATATGTCCGCGCGTGGGCACCAGCTGCAAGGCTGGGCGCGCTGCAGAGACTCATAGGTTTGGGAACTTCCCAGCAGACTTAGGCGGAAGCCCTCGATTCCAAAAAACGGCTGAGCACATCTTTACCAGCACGCATGGGCGGCTGACATTCGGTGTTCAAGGACCGCGGGTTCTCCGCGCAATGGCGCCC